ATATTCCCAGCAATAGGAAGTGAAACATGAACTCCGCCTCTCTCATTCTGTATCTGTAGAATCTACCACAGTGTGTGGAGGACAACAATGAATGAATGAATGAATGAGATAATGAATTAATGAATGTAAGAATAAATAAAAAACAAATAAACCTAATATAGAGGGATTTAAACTAGAATTTTAGGGAGAGCTGAGGTAAATGACAAGTTAAAAAGACAGACACCAAATGTGGCATTGAATTAGCAAAAAATTATCAGAAAATATTCAGTAATTCTCAGAAGAAACTACTAATAGGATAATAATAACATGAGGAGCCTAGCATTATAATTCTGCTCAGGTTATTGGTTTATAAGGAACTATGATAAAGTCACTAGCTTACTCTGGAACTTGTTTCCTCATCAGTAAGAAGGCTGAACACACTAATACCCAAATCTCTGTAAACTTGTGATCAGGATCTCAGATGTCAATATAATAACAAAATAAACAAAGTGGACTTGACACTTTAAGGAAAGGAGACAGCAACATAGAGTTATCAGTAGGACTTGTTACAATAGGGCAGATTGTGGGCCTATACTACCAAGGATAAATATTGAGGGACTACTTTGTGCCAGGTACTCTTCTAGGCACTTGTGACTATGGCAGCAAACAAAGAAAAATCCTGGCACTCATAGAGTTTATATTCCACTAAAGAAGAGAGATGATATGCATTTAAAGACATAATATATTAATAAGTAATATGTTGCTGTTGTTAGGTGCTGTGGAGTTGGTTCCGACTCATAGCGACCCTATGTACAACAGAACAAAACACCGCCCCGTCCTGCACCATCCTCATAATCTTTGCTATGTTTGAGCCCATTGTTGCAGCTACTGTGTCAATCCATCTCATTGAGGGTCTTCCTCTTCTTGGCTGACCTACTACTTTACCAAGCATGATGTCCTTCTCCGGGACTGGTCCCTCCTGATAACATGTTCAATAAGTAATATACTGTATACAAATTTAGAGGATGCGGGGAGGGGTTCATGGTGGTAGCAGACTTATTTAGAGAAGGAAGGCTTCTCTGTGGAGGTGAAATTTGAGGAGAAAGCTACTAAGGAAAGAACCAGGCAATGATCTGGAAAGAGAGATCTAGACATAAGCCTTGGGTGGGATGAGGTTGGCACATCCAAAGATCAGTACTTGGAGTAGAATGAGAAGTGGGGCAAGTGTGCGGAGTGACTGATGAAGTGGTGAGACAGGTAGGGACCAGATATGTGGGCCTAGGAAAAAAATTCTAATACATTCTGAGTATGATGAGAGTTTGAGCTATGGAGTGACTGACGTAATCTGATTTTCATTTAAAAAAATCACCCTGGGTGTTCCTTGGAAAACAGACTGAAGAGAAGGCAAGAGTGGAGGGAGTGCAAAGGCTAGTGGACGGTGTAAATAAGAGGATGGTGACGTGGACAAGCCTGTCTACGGCCAAGGGAAGTAAATTCAAACTCTGAAATGGGAAACTAGAGACTATTTACCCTACAATTTCATCTACAACAAACCTTCTTCTCTTGTCTTTGCTCTATGTCTGCCCATCATTCGCAATCTTTGCACATTTTATTGCCTCTATTTACAATGACCTCCATTTCCTTCTTCATGGTCCAACAGGGATCTTAACCTCCAAGTCTCAAAATCTCCTCTTTGAAACTTTCCTGACACTTCCAGGAAGAGTCGATACTACCTCAGAATCTCACATGGCATAAAACTTACCTTTCATGCTGTATTATATGTGTTACTGTGTTGTCTCAATGCCTACCGAATGGCGTTTTTTGTTTGTTTGTTTTTTACTTTACTGGCCTTTGAAAATTAGGAATCTGTAAACTGCTGAGTTAGACTTCTTAAATTAGACTCACATCTCTTGAATATCACTTAGAAGAATATTCTTTTTAGTATAGTTAATAGTTAATCAACCATGATTATAATTAAGAAATTGTTTTTATTTAGTTTAAAAGACTAAAAGCTTATCTATACATTTGCATAGAAACAAATTACAAAAGTCACGTCTTAGACTCAAAGTATCTAATATGTTAAAAACACTGTCAACATAAGAAATGGTCTACCTTGTGCATGTAATAAAACAATGCGTTTGAGTTTATGTGCAAATATTCCATATTAAATTAAGCATTGGGTTTGACCAGTTGAAAGCAGGAAGTACTGAATTATGCCCCAAAGTGCAATATATCTAGCATTTTTCAGACGCAGAGTATTTAATAATTCTACTCAACTTCTTTTATGATTACATAGTCAACCCAATGCAGGTAGTCCCCAATTTACCACGTAATTGAGTTACGATGAACCACTCTTACAACTGCTTTTTTTAACGTCAGCAAATTATGCCTTGCCACATTATATGGAGTACATATTACTAATGATAAGATTTCCAACGTGGATGAAACAGGCTTGTTTTGGAAAAGGATGCCTGAACGGGCTTATATTCACAGAGGCAGAGTCAATGCCTGCTTTCAAGGCATTTAAACACAGAATCACGCTGTATCGGACTTAGTCAACTTACGACAGAGTCGTCGGGACAGAGCCCCATTGTAAATCAGGGACTAACTGTATTACTGATATAATCAGTATTACAACCTACCTCATTTTTTATCCCATATTTACAAATCCAAAGTGGAAACTGAGGAAAAATATTGATATCTTGAATCTGTTCTTTGAGTCATCTGAATTAAGAGTACAGGGCCTGAAACTATTGCCCTAAGATAATCTTTAAACCTTAAACCAGAAACATCCCCTGAAGTGTTCTTAAAACCAAACAGTTTGGATTAACTAGGAAAGAATGTCTGCCTTGAGCATTGTGTTCTTTTAAGAACTATCTATATGGGATCAACTTGGCAACAGCAACTGGAAATATTAGATAGGAAACTTAGGGGGCAGTGAGTTTATGTAAATGGACGAGGAACAATTTGGAAAAGGAGGGTTAGAATGGTTGCACAATTTGAAGAATGTAATCAATGTCACTGAATTGTACATACAGAAGTTATTGAATTGGTGTATTATTGTATTGTGTATATTCTCACCACCAACAACAAATAAATAAATAAGGTTAAAAAAAAGAGTACAAGGCCTTATACTAAGTAAATGATGAATACACTGACTGTAACAGTCCTTTCTAACGACAGTCTTAAATATTACTTTAAAAATACTGTGAAAAAGCAAATTTTCAAAGTTTTCCATGTAAATCTTTAAGTTAATCTATAGGCCACAGCTGTATAAATAAATATACAGTATAATTGAGTTTAAAACCACATTTCATAATATATTTATTCTACAAACAAAGCTTTACATAAAATAACCCTCTGTAAAATGCATTAAATCTAAATGACCAGGGCAGTGGTTCCCAGGCTGTTTCAGTGTAAGAGCCATTTTTTAACATTAATATCCGGCTATGACTTCTGCCCCACACATGAGGACAGCTTTACATTTAGGATCCATTGGTTAAGAAAGAACTTAATGATAAATGCTACTGTGAAATTTTGAGAAAGTATAAATGAATATACAATCATTAATATGATTATTGATATGTCTATACATCTATAAATAGACACAGTAATATATAATGACATATTTTTCAGCCTACAGCCAATGTATGGGTCAATGGAAATCTAGCAATATCTCAGCAAAGCTTATGTAGAAGTTTCAGGATACTGAGACCTAGAGTTCAGAAACCAGTGCATTAGGGGAGCTTTTAATTTGAACATAAATCTTGTTTCAAATTGAACTATCACATTATTCAATCAACTGAAAGATTTATATTAGACTTTCTAAAGTAGGATACACTTGCTTTTATAGCTGATTATTAACATTTCTTATTTTCAGCTATAGATATCTTCACAAATGTATCTAACATATCTATATATGTTCTCTTCCTTTTGCAGCATATCTAGGTATTTTAAAATAATTAATTTCTATTATCAAGGGAAATGTAAAAGTTCTTTTAGCTTTTGAAATTCTAACCCAATTTAGTCTATCAGAAACCACATATCAACCTACAATTATTGTTTAGCATTAATTATTCTTTTATTAAGTCCCTGGGTGGCTAAAAATGGTTTGCTCTCGGCTACTAACCGATAGGTTCATGGCTCGAATCCATCCAGAAATGCTGTGGAGGAAAGGCCTGGTGATTTGCTTCAACAAAGATTACAGCCAAGAAAACTCTACGGAGCTCAGTTCTACTCTGTAACACATGGAGTTGCCATGAGTAGGAATCAACTCAGTGGCAACGGGTTTGGTTTTTGTTTAATCTTTTATTAAAGTATCTTAATTACATTCCTATTTTCCCCTCCATTCAATACTAAATTTTCCTCATTCAGACAATGAGTAACTAAACAAGTTGATAAACAAAAATAAGAATATTTAAGCACTAGGAATAAGGCTTACTTAGGTCAGAATAATAAAGTTGTCAGAAGCAAAATAAGTATGGATGAACTACGATGATTGCATTATACTTTCGTCTGCCTGCTCTCTATTGACCAAGTTTGTTCTAAGCATTTTTATGAAAACATACTAGTGACTGACAAGATGATCTCTAAACACTCTACCAGCTCTGGCATTCTAATAGCCATGGGTCTAAGTTTATGGCCATCCTTCGCCTTCTCTATTTATGTTCAATGTTTATTCCATCATATTTGACTATGAAGATGAATTAAATTCACTGAAATCACAGTCTTCAACACGTACTAGGGATATTTCAATATTAGAACAAAACTTTCAATCTTATTAACTCATCAAATAATAAATTTCTTCTTCATTTTGCAACTATATAATGTTTTCTTTTGTGGGTAATTTTAAGTGATGCATTACATGCAAATTTTTACCCAAATTTCTAAAGAAGCAGTCATCACTGAAATTTAGTATTAGGTTTCTAAGGTACCAGGAGCTTTATTGCCCCCCTAAAATCTGCAAACAGGTTAACATCAACCCATCATTGTCTTTTAACCGAAAAGAGAATCACTCTTACCGTGTAGCCCTCAGTATACTGAAAAGGAGTCCTGGAATTCTCATCTGCTGTTGGACTCAGAGGCTTGGGGTCAGACATAGAACGTTGCATCATCTTGGCTGCCTTAGGACTTGCTGGGGGAACTTCAGCCATATCTGGATGCAGTACTTTCTGTGCACTTATATCATCGGAGAGGGTTTTTTCATAAGGTATAAAGGCTGATTCTAAGGCTTTGCCTGGCGAAAGTGGTGAGATGGGTGAATAAAGGACTTTGGGAGATTTGGGTGGGGAAGGAGCCAGTTGTAGGGTAGAATCTGCCCGAAGGTGGGATGAATAACCAATCTCTAAAGGTGTTGGGCGTTTCTTGTCTTTGGGTGGAGATGTAGCACTCAGATATTGAGGACTTTGTATGTCTGAATCTGCTTCTGTTTGACATCCTAAGCTGCCCCCTTTGTAAGTCTTTTCAGGTGCTGAAATATGTTTAATTATTTCAACCTTGGCATCCACTCGTGCCCTTATTGAAGGTGTTCTTATGGTTCCGACTGGTTCAGTTTGCACAGATATCTCTGCTACTGTTTGAACTGCTATGCTGGAGACTTTGGAATGGGGTTTGGTCTTGTCTACCTCTGTAGTGCTGTCACCATATTTCCCTACACGAGATTTCCTCCTTGACCTACTAGGCATATCCCATTCATCCTGATCTTCATCATCAGTTTGGACACTCGTATCAACACTTTTTTTAGTTCTCCTTCTCCTACTTGCATAACTCCTATCTGCTGCATCTTCATCATCAGTTTGTACACCACTGTCCACTATCTTTTTAAAACTTCGGGGATCGTCTCCCATATTTTCTCCTATTTCATCATACTGTCCACGGACTTTAGCTCCAGAACTTCGCTTTTTGGGTTGTTTTTCATCTTTCACAACAACATCCGTTAGAGGTATTTCTGAAACAGTAGTCAGGATGCCAGGTGGGGCAATGTACTGAGTAACACCATCAGACTGAACTGTGTACCATCCTTGGCTTTGTGGTATTTCAATTGCCACAACAGCTGAAGCTGTAGTGGTTGCCTCTTCAGTCCCCCAAAACTGAGTACCTTCTGGCGCAACATACTGACCTTCCAAAATCGCCTGCTCTGTAGTGGTTTGTGGAGAGGCAGTTCCAGAAGGGTCATAGTTATACTGATAGATCTGGCGAATCTTTTGCTCCTCTAGCTGTTGGTGAAGCTGTTGCTGTAGCTGTTGGATCTGTTCAAGCTGTAACTGCTGCTGAGCCAATGTCTCCTGCCTCATCATAAACTGGGCTTGCCGCTCTTCTTCTTGCTGATAGAGAAGGTGCTGCTTCATTGACTGCAGCTCCTCCAGCTTTTTTTGAACCATGATCTTTTCTTGTTCTCGGAACCTTTGAATTTCCTGGCGTTCCCACTCCAATTCCTCAGCAAAGCGCTGCTGCTTGATTTTCTCCAGTTCCAAGAGTTCACGCTCCAAGTCTAACTGCTGTTGTTTATCTTCTTCAGGGACAATTAAAACAGCACTTTCATCTTCCACCACTTCAGAAAACACTTCAGATGCTGTGGTTAAAGTGGGAACAGAGTCTATTGTCTCAGCTGTAAAAGTTTCCATAGTAATGGTTTGCAAACTGGCATTGATATCAATAGCAGTTACTGCAATGTCCGTTTCAGATGCACCTGTTGTTAGGAAATATGATCTAGGCATCGGCTGCCTCTGGTGCAGGGCAGATAATGAAGTCACTCCATCAGCTATGTGTATACCAGACAAATCCCGCACAGTGGTGCTAAAAATGGAGCCAGGTTGTGTGGTGATAGCAAATGTAGAAGGTACTGGAGTTGCTACTGAAGAATAGACAACGCCATTAGATGACTTCAAAACACTCCCAACACCATACTGGGATCCAGGAGGTGGAGTCATTCTTGCTGTGGAATACTGTGGGGTGCTAAACCCAATGCCTGAAATGACTTGTCGTGTTTCTGGATATGGACCTGTAGTCTTGCTTGAATAATCCATTACCTCACCTGAAATACAGGGCAGAGTTATAGTCCGGTCCCCAGAATGAATGATGCTTTTGGGTTTGAAAGCCCTCTCATCTTGATGAACATAATGAATGGGGCTGCATGCAAATCCACAGGTTAACCTAATTAGATGTGGAATAAAAGCAACGTTGAACATGCAGGCACATGCAGGCGATTTTGGAAAGAACAAATGAAAAAATGAAAAAAACAAAAGTGCACATGTAATCTAAAATGTTGCCAAAACATCCAAAGAAAGAGAAAAAAATAACAAAATTGGAAAAGGGACCACATTTTCATCCTGAAATGAGATGGGGAACACCATAATGATATTTCAAGGATAAGTCTGCTGCAACATCATACTGACCTGTAGTAACTCTCCCTGAAGTTAGATCTACTGCTGCATCAGTTCCTCCAGAATAATCAAAAGCATTCTTACTTTTATAGAAAAAATGTCCAGCTTCTGCCAAATTAGTGTCAGACATGGAAGATTTCATTCCCCCAATACCTCTATAACCATAAGGCCCTGACCGATCATATTGATAGTGGTCATCCCTATAACCAAAACGATCCTCAGGAAGAGTAGTTGCAGGTTGCTGTGCTGTGCAGCTCCTTCCAAAAGGTAACTTATAAACCATATCACAGCACACAGCTCTTCTTCCTGCAGTCAGATCAACAGGTTTTTCATCATCTTCTATTATTTTGGTCACTGCATTTGAAGCAGATTCATCCACTGTTACAACAGTTCTATGAGACTTTGTGGTACTGAGATCCACTGCTTCCCCATCAGTGATCCCCTGGGATGTGGTGCTCTCAGTCCATCCATTTGTAACACCAACAGGAGGTACAGTGACAGGTTTTGTAATAGCCAGAGTCACTGCATGTGCTGGAGTACTTAGGGATAAGTTTATTGGTGCTTCCTCCCTAAGTGTAGGAAAGGCTTGACCACTTGTTATCCTGTATGAGGGCTCAGCATACTTTGATGTAGTTAGTTGGAGTGGTGTTGTCATTGTCGGTTCTACACCCATAAAACTTTCTGTGCCTGTGGTGTAACTTGCACTAGCAGTGCATGTGACAACTGTCGCTGCTTCAGTGGCCAGGGATACTGGAGTCACTACTGATGAGATTGCACTAAGATTTATAATAGATGGTTGCACAGCACTAATTTGTCTCCCATAAACATCACTTATTGTGGTTTGCCTTTTAACATCCATTGTAGAAGCAGAAAGATCTATACATTTTTCAGTTACTTTAACTTCTGCTTTTGGTACTGTACGCAGATCAATGATATCACCAACAAGTTGCAATTTTCCATTCTCCTTATACTGATGCTTCTCTAAATGTAGGGTATCTAGAGCAAGATGTTCTGGAGGAACTGTTATAGAGACACTGCTGGGACCAACACTAGGCACTGTACTTTTAGCTGCTGAAACCTCAACTTTGGGAACTTCAGTTGTGAGAAATTTTGCAACTGAAGTTGGGGCTGGTTGAAATGAAGACACTGTTGTGACAGGTACAGCAGAAAATGTCTCCAAAGCTCCTGAGATGTACAGGCTCTCCTCTAAAGTACTTGGAATTGCTGCAGCTGTCACAGGAGGAACTACAGAAAATACTGGTTCAATGGAAACCAGATCTTTGGGGGGTGATCCTAGGGGCCAACTAGTAATTGCTTGACCAGTTGAAGAATCTGTTGGAGTTCCAGGTTCAGATGGCAAGGTGATAACCACATAAGTTTCCATGAGGGATTTGGAAAATCTTGGTGAAGACTTGTTAGAGTGTGGGGAAAGTGGGGAGGTAGGGGACGGCAATTTATAATCTGCTGAAGTAACTAAATTCAATGTCATACTTGAAGTTAAAGATAAAGCGCTTGGTTTGGGAGGTGTATCTGTTGGTTTTTGTGTAGTTATTGGAAGCTGAGGAACCACTGGTTTGGGGGCAATTGGAGGTTTGCTTGGCTCAGGCCTGTGTGTAAATACAAGCCCAGATGGAATCGAAGATGGCTTAGGAGGAACAGGAGGAGGTGAAGGGGCACATATCTTTGTTACAGGTAACCCATTACTCTTCAGAATAGCTGGGGTCTCTACAGCAACAACAGCATCAACCAGAGGGATAGCAGTAGCAGCTGGAGTCAGTGAAACTGTAACTGGTATCTTTCTTTTAGGATAAATTGTTGGTTTAGGTGAAGTCGGTGGAGGCAGTGGTGGGGGAGGAGGAGGAGGAGGAGGAGGGGGAGGAGGTTGGGCTGATGTGTCCAAAGAAGAACTACGGAAGAATGGGCGAGTTTTAGTTGGAAGAGAGAAAACAGGACTGCCAGATGGTAACTGAGACACAGGTTTTACTTGGCCAAAGACCTCTCCAGATACAAAGCATGTGGTTGAAACCTGCTCCTTCATTGGAATAGCTTTTACGGAAGAAGGTGGTTGATCAAACGCAGTTTCAGATATGGTAATTTTTGTTAATTCAGCTTCAGATTCCTTCTTTTTATCTCTGTAAGCTTCTAAAACTTCCAGAATAACTCCATTCCCAGTTTCTTTCTTGGTTTTCTTCACTGGATCCTTTTCAGATACAGATAAGTCAGTGGAAATAGTGTCAGCAACAGGTCCCTCAAGTTTAGCTCCTACAGATTCTATGATAGAAGAAGCCATATCAGATAAGGAAATTGTAATATGATCAGCACTAGTCCTACCATCTGGTGTGGTAGCCCTGTCTAATGATATACTTATTTCTTCTGGATAGTCAATAATGCTGCCTGGGAAATAAGTTGGTGAAGACATTTCCTCAGAACCTTCAAATTTAGTTACTACTTCCACTGGCTCTGTATAAACTGTGGTTATGCTATCGAGGGTAGTAATAGGCGAGGAGCTATCTGTGGTACAAACTGAAGAAACAGATGATGTGAGAGAAGGTGTGTCAGATGGTGGGACAGATGTAGCACTTTCTGAGGGCTCAGAGTAGGTCAAAATCAGTGATTCATGGGCTATTATTTCTTGAAGTTCTCTTGTATAATCAGTTACATATTCATCCTCAATTTCTTCTGCCGAAAAATGTTGGGTTATTTTAACATCTGGAATAGAGAGGGTTGCACTGCTGGTTGAATCTGTAAGAGATGCACTTGAGAGAATACTTGATGTCAAAGACGCATCAGCCACCCTATCAAGGTCCATGGTGGGCTCTGTCACATCATCCCTGATGGGGGGCTGGGTTGGACTGGATCCAGGTGTTAGCTGCATCTGTTGCCTCTTCATGAGTTCTTCATAGGCAGCATCAGCATCTAATAATTTTTTTTCTTCACTGGTAGAAGTTACCATACTGCCAAGATCCACTATCTCATGGCTCTCTGGGATGATATAACAGCTTGAAACAATATCTTCTTGAGGCATAACAGAATGTAAGCTTTCTAACTCATAAAACTCTTTCTGGAGTTCTGTAATTTTTTGCATAGAGTCTTCATAAATCTGTTCTGGAAGTCTTATTTTGTGCTCTCTCCCTTTCTGCTGCATAAATCCATTCTCTTCTTCTTCCCTTGTTAGCAAACTGCCATCTATTGAACCATTGTATGTGTCCTCTACTAACGACTCATAAATATAATCCTCTATTAACATCCCACCATACAAAGGCTCTTTTTCAAACACTTCATCTCGTTCATTTGCAGCTGGAAAAGCTTTATATTTGTGGGATTTATGTATCATTTCTTCATACATCTCCTCAGCACTTTTTAATGCCTTTTGGCCATCTTCTTTCTGCATAATAGATTGCTCATCTGTTGGGGAGTATAAAGACACAGCTGTGGGCAATTTATAAACTTTTTGTACTTCTATTATTTTTTCTGGGCTTATTTCAAAACCCTCTGGCTCTGATTCAATGCTAGGTGAATATTCAGAACAAGAAGATCGGTGGAGCTCCTCCATTTCTGCGGCCTGACGTAATTCTTCTGTTGGAGAAGCATCTTCAATGGGAGAGAGATTGCTGGGTGGTGTCTTCGGTCTTTCTCTCCGTCTTTGAGCTCTAAGTTCATCTTTATCTTTCTTTGATTTTTTACTAGAACTCTTTCTTTGTTGCTGTTCTAACTCTCGCTGCTTTTCTTGCTCCTTTAATAATTCTTCTTCCTCTCTCAATTCTTCTTCCTCTGAAGAATCCTCAATAGTAGGTAGAAGAGGGCCATGTGATCTGTGCCGAGCTTTGCGTTGCTGTTTGCTCTCTCCTTTTTTGTGACTTGGGCTACTGTCGCTATCCTCGTCAAGTGATGACACTGATGTAGGAGATGTACCAGGAGTGAAGCTGGAAGCATGAAGACTAGAAGATCCTTCCCCCCTGGACCTATCTTCTGGTGAGTCTGTCAGGCTTTCCATTTCTAATTCTGGCTCTTCATCAAAGTACAAAGTCGTTTTTTTCTGTGATGACTCTGCAGAATACTGATCTGCTATAGTGCTGTTGAGTTCAATTGTTTTAAATCGACGTAGCCCTCCACCTCCAGCAACTGCAAGTTCTTCACTCTCTTGACTTTTGGTTTCTCTGTATTTAAGTTCAGGACTGTCATCATACGTCTCATCATCTTCATCATGCCATGAATGGCGTCTCCCTGCATCATCATCAAAGCTTGCACTACTTTTTCTTGTCAGTCGCCTGTGTTTTCCTGCGGTTGCTTTTCCTTTCCCTTTCATTTCTTCCTTCTTCTGGCTCTCTATACTACTGCTAATCTCTTTGAGTTGGTTCCTAATAAACTCATCATCCTCAGAACCTGAAGCATCTTCATCAGCACTCATTTCTATGATTTGCTTTCGAATGAAGTCCTCCTCTTCGCCTGATCCTTGACTATCTTCCTGTTTATACTCATCACTGCTCGATGAACCAACACTAGTTCTCCGTTTTCTTTGTGGAACAGGTGAGTTTTCACTTTCACTGCTATCTTCAACTGAATCATAAGGTTGTCTTCTTGTAGCTATGGCATCGACAAACTCAAACTTTTCTTTATAGTCCTTTCTGGAGGGAATGCCTTGTTGGCCATCTTTTTTAAAAGTGTCTTTCTTTTCTTCTTGACTTTCCTTGAGTGGCTTTTCTGAAATAGTAATTTCCAGTGTTTCAGAAACAGTCTGAGTTTTCTGTTGGTCTTTAGGTTGCTCTGGAGAAACTCCCTGGGGTTCTGTTTTCTTTTCTGACTTTTCATCAACAACTGTACTAGACTGAGCTTCCAAAATGGACAGGACAGTACTTTCTAACTTAGCCAAATCAGAGGGACTGGAAGGACTGCTTTCTTGTGAAAAAGAGTCCTTTTTGAGGCCCTTGAACAGATCCTTTTCATCACTTGGAATAAGACTTGGAATTTCACCAAGTGAACTTGATATTCCATCAGAAGAATATCCTGTGTCACTCAGACCTTGGGGGCTTTTCGGCTGCTGAGAACTTGAGGTGTCTGATTTGTCATCTTCCTTTTCCTAGCAGAGAGGAAAAGATACAGGACAACTTAACATGGTTAAACTAATAACTTGGTCTTTCCATTACTTCCAAATAACTATTAAGAAATGAGAAATAATTATGGGAATTTTGTCAACCATACATCAGTATTTAAAAGAAAAACTTGAATGTGCACAAAACTAAAAAGTTTAAATATATTAATGTTAGTTTTCATTTAACCTAAGTTTAATTTAAATGCTAATTTTCAATGACATTTGATTTTTATTCCATTTATATTCTACCCTTTTACATTGAAATATCATTGTCTTTCAAAAATATGATCATCTTTCTAAGTACACCGACTCTGGGATGGAGTTCAAATTGTGAATCAAAAAATTTAATGAAAATCCTGCCATTACCACGAGTAATACTTTTGGATTATATGGTTAGATAAAGCCCATTGGGGGAGGGTGCAAAAAAAAAAAAAAGAATCAGAGGATGGACTTTGTGTCTGACTACAAGTTAATGAGATGTTGGAAATTTTTCTTAACAAAAATGATCAGGTAATATGGCCATAATGATAAATGCCCCACCTACCTCAAAGGATTTCTGAGTGATTCAAACAAGACACTGCTTTACAAAGGCACTTTGAAAGCTCTAAAATACTATATATGATTGGTATTGTTAATACTATTATCCTATAGCAATCCTACAACATTGGAATGAATGTTTAGAAATTGTAAACTTTAAAAAAAAATTATGCAATAATTGGTCTGACTCCTCACTTCAGCTGAAGAGAAAAATATAGCTATTGTTTTGTAGAGCTGTTTATTGATCTTATTTTCAGCATTCTACCTCAAAGGTGTTTCACAAACATCACTTACAAATGTCTTCTGATTTTCAAAATGCTTGGTGACTTGTTTATCTTCACATTATTTAAAAGCCAGCTCTCTTCAAGCAGTACAATAACTAAACTAACTTTTCATGAGTGGAATCATGGGTTTTCAGGGTGCTAGGTCAGGACACAGCAGAGGGCTCAGTAGGCACACCATGGCCTTGACCTTTCTGATTTCTTTAGGCTATGATGAGGCCATGGCAACCATTTTGGTTCAAGAATCAGAAATCTTAAATGAAAATGGTAAATAGAGATTGTTTGCATAAGTCTACATTAAAAATGCCTATGGTGCAGAGCAAAATAAAACCCAACTGATCTAATTAGAGTCCATGTTGAGAGGAGAGTACCACAATAGCCCTCCAGCCTTATGGAATGAAGGGACCAAAGGAAGAGCTGCACCAGGAGACACTATATCTGACCCTGGCTTAGGAGGCCACTTTGATTTCACTAAGTCTGTATCTTGAACTATCTCAGCATTTCAGTAGGTGTGTGGATATAGGCTCCTTTGACCTCCTATAGCCCAATTCAACTGATGCCAGGTTGCACAACAAACATGCAAAAAAAAAGTGTGGTTTTTTCCTTCTTCTTTTTTCTTTTCTTCTTCTCCTTTGTTTTCTTTTTCTTTTTTTTAGCTACAGGGTTCTTGAATATAAATGCTGTTGACCTGATATTCATTTCAATATATATGTTATGGATTGAATTATGTCACTACAAAATATGTGTTGGGATCCTAACCCCTATATCTGTGGATGTAATCTGATTGGGAATAGGGTTTTATTTGTTATGTTAATGAGGCCATTTATCAGTGTAGGGTATGCCCTAAACCTAATCACTTCTGGGTTATAAGGAACAGCATAGAGCAGTGACAAGCAAACTCAAACAGGGGGGAAGGGGAATAGATGCCACATGAGAATTGTCAAGGAAACAAGGAACTCCAGTCTACAGACACTGAAGGGGACAGGGATCTTCCCCTAGAACCTATAGAGAGAGAGCCTTCCCCTAGAGTCGGTGTCCTGAATTCTGATTTCTAGCTTCTTACTGTAAGAAAATAAATTTCACTTCTTTAAAGCCACCCACTTGTGTTATTTCTGTTATAACATCACTAAGAAACTAAGATAATATCTTTATTCTTATGGTTAAAGATATTCTAAGAGTACATTACAGAGTAAAATGCTTTTACTGAATTCACAACATGGCTCAATTTCAAAAGACCATCCGATATAGTCTTACCCACTTTAGTGCGGAAAGCAATGCCTACTCTTTGGTTTACCAAGAATTAACTGTCCTGGGCCACGTTGGATGTATTTCCAGAACAGGATTATTTATCTGCAGTTGTGAGACTATGGTAGCATGACTGATGAGTACCCAGCTCATTTTGACTGCTTTCCCTTAAGAACTACACATCGGAGAGACAAGAACAGGTAAAGTAGCCTTCAAATAAAACCTTTGTGGACAGTGTGAAGGGTCATTCCTATCTCTTCACATACCCAGGTAATGCCAGAATACATTTATTGAGTCCAATATGCTTTCTATATCCTTCCCTGTCTGCTTTTCATTACAGAATCCCCATTTACCTGTCACTAAATCATAGTAAACACCATCACCACAGGGGGCAGGATACCTGAACTTCTTGTGAAAAAGAGGTCAAGAAAATGATTTTTCATAATAAAATTTTGAGAGCCTCATTGGCATTCTTTATTTTGCATCTGCATATATTATAAAACATAAAAATGTAACAGAACAACCAGAATGCAATTAAAGAGAATATTTACTCATTGTGAAAAACCCAACTAATGTCACTGAATAATTTGTAGACAAATTATCAAACGGGAACCTAATTTGCTGTGTAAACATTCATCAAAAACACAATAAAATATTATCTTAAAAAATTATAGTTAAAAAAAAACCCTAACAATGTAATATAACTACATATATGTGTAGGAAATGTAACTATTATTATATGCAACAATTCACTGAGTATAATAAAAGAGAAATTATAGTTTTATACAATGGAATTTGAAAGTTCTACTGACATTTTAGCAAAGATTAGGGCCAGACATATATAATGTAACAAAGGAAATTAAGAAACATTTGACAGAAGACTAATAAACATAAATATCAAAATACCTACCCTACAACCCTCTTATCCTCCTTTTCTCTACATGTTCGTATTTTTGATCTCTTCACAGTTATATTCTACCCACTTCTCCCTCCTACCACTCATTTCCTGATCTCCTCTCTCCATACTCACCATAGGATTCAACCTATGGTGATGCTGTGATGATTTCTTTCCTAAATGATTCTTCCTCTTCCATATTATGAAGCAGTAAGCCTGCAAAGATTTTGTTCTGCAGGCTGGTGGGTCCAGAAAAAATGTTTGGAGTGGTTAATAAGGAAATTAGGTAAGCTGACTAAAGGACATTTGGCTGAATTGTTCAGAAGGAACAGTGGCTCAAGTATTTATTTCACTATGCTATATTGAAAAAACTCAAAATGTTAATTTTTCTTACACTTATTAGCTTAGGTGTAAAGTCCACCAGCAGGGGTAAGTGTCCTTCTGTCTCTTCATTACACTGTTAGCTTGTAACCTTCAGATGACATGCTAACCAGGCCCTTTGCCTCTTTGATTTAAGGCGCCTACACATTCATCTTCTCACTATTTGTTGCCGCTAAAATTAAAAAAAAAAAAAAATTGTTCTCCCTTTACAGAGATCCACATACTGAGGCGTTGATTAGCTGGGCCTCTTTCTTACTTCCTCCCTCCCTCCTTCCTTCCCTTCCTTCCTGTGGCTATCCACTCTCCTTTGTGAGATATCTCGGTGACAGTATTAGTACAATAGTACCCAGGCAACTTAATTGCTTTATACAAATTTAACACCACACACCGTTGCTTTATTAACAATGTTTTCTAAGAAGTCAGTAATTGGACCAAATAAGAGAATGGCTGAAACAGAGAAGAATGTAAAACACAGCGTGTAAGAAAGTAGGGTCTTGTTTACTCTAATTATTCAATCTTTAAATGGTGTCTGGAGTGCTGTAAATATAGAGAAATTTAATCAGAGGATTCATGTGAGAGTGGCATAATTGGGCTCACTTTCTCCTAAATTTCTGTATCTCCAGGGGTAAAAGATTGGGAGTTTTCTCTCAGTTAGTTAAAAAATGAGTGGTTGTGTACTTATTTAAAAGAAGACTATGAAGCTACTAAGTAACATGTTAAGGTTTAATGAAATGAATAGATTCATATAGTTCTTTCTAAAATATATGTTTTACTCACACACACACATACATACGCACGTGTAAATATTGCTGACTTTTATTTATGCATCATTCTCATTTGAATAGATAAGTAGGAGTTGGTGCTATTTATTATTCCTCTCACTTTTTACATGTAAATTGTAATTTAGAATGACCTCTGAAATTCTTAAATATGAATAAACAT